GGGAGGGGCTGTACCTGGGGATGGATGATTCCTGGGGGTGGGCCTGTACCTGGAGATGGATGATTCTGTCCAAATGTAGGATTTGGTCAAGCAATGATTTATGAGTAGGAGAAACTGCTGTTTACCCCAGGAAAATTCATTTTGGCAGGTAAACCTCACGGAGAACACCTTGAACAATCACTGTCCAATCAATGTTGTAGGTGCTGGTATATCCATGGGTGCTAGGACCCTAGGGTAGACCTGACTATGTGGGAAGTGTGGGACTAGGCAGTGACTATCCTTCAAACATACATGTAGTTTATGTTGTTATTTCAGGTATGGAGGCTTGCCTGTGGTCAGAGACAGTCCGTATGAACCACCAGATGGAGAGCATGCTCTTCCCTCGCGCCATTGCCCTGGCAGAACGAGCTTGGCACAAAGACTCTTGGGAATTGGTCACTAATCCTGAGAGTCGAGAACGAGCCAAGAGAAGAGCCTGGGAGCTGTTTGCTAACACCCTCGGCCAAAAGGAGTTGCCGCGACTGGACATGATGCAGGTGTCCTACAGACTGCCTCCTCCTGGAGTCAAGTAAGACATACAAACCAGACATATTTTGTAGCAATCACTGTCACACCTAACACATTCTCTTGTCATGCAGCATGATCCAGTCATGGTATCACCTGGGACAGTGCCACATGTGCTTCTCACTTGTAATCTTTTTGTCAAACCTGGTATGTTTTGTACCAGTCTCTGTCACATCTAACACACTCTCTTGACACGCATCGCGCTTTATCCTAACCATTGTCATATTAATGCAGAAAGCAGTGGTGCAATCATTGTGTCAACCAACATTGTGTCTGTACAGAAAGCCAGCACCGGAGTCCCTCATTGTTGGCACTGTGCACTTGAAAAACAGTTTGACTTCAAACTGATGCAAATTTATAAAATACAGGTCTGTTTCAAAAAGCAGATTGATCAGATATTTTATTCAAAAGTTATGATTTTTCCCAGCATATATACAATACAGATACAGGACTAATATATATAACGCATGTATAGGTCAACGTCGAAAAAACTAGCCTTGAAAATTTTGCATGTTTTTTTAAATGTTCAGTTTTCACAATTTGGCATTTTCAAGGTGTGACTTTGAACTTCTGTGGGGCTAAAGTCCTTTGCTAGTCACATTTTCATGGAACAGGAGGTTTAACATTTTTAAACTATGAATAATATTTAAGAATATTTTTCTAACCATACATGAACCTGATTCCTTCTACACACAACCCCTCCCAGCTTTATAATTTATACTTGAAAATGTTAAATATCAACAGGGGCGGATTGAGGCCATTTTCTGGGTCTTCCAAAAGACGATCAGATTTTCAAATTTACATAGACGAGTTTCTAATTTTTTTCTGTCAGAAGAGGGTCAAAAATGGAGGTTGGATCAACAAAGTACATTTGGAAGACTATCAGAAAATATCTCTGGATCCACCCCTGATCATTACAAATGATTTGTGAAAGATAATCATCATATTATTTATTATTATATTTGTAGGGTGATGTCAGGCAAACTCTATGCCAATTAATTATTATTATATTTGTAGGGTGATGTCAGGCAAACTCTATGCCAATTGTGCTTTCCCTGGACTACAGATTGTTTATGCAATAGCAAAAGATGAAGCTGAAGAAGAGGAAGACATAGGGATACAGTGGATACCTTATTCAGAACCTGTCTCAATACAAGGCTTCATTAAAGTGAAAGTTGCTACCAGGTAAAAGTTGATTCTCATTTTATTTTTATATCAGTCATGTATTGAAACCATTCACATTTCCTGTATAATCACTAGATCTAAAAAGACTGCAGTATTTTAATTTGACATGAAATCATCTGGTGAATTACACACCAAAAAGTGGGAACTGGATAAAGCTAATTTAATTAGTCTCATTTCAGACAGACTTTCAAAGATGATAATCCATTATTGGTTCCCAGTATCGTGGACGTGCAGATATATTGACCAATTTCCTTTGCTGACTATGTGGTGGTTGATTTAGAATATTCTAGCTTTCTTCCAGTGATGCCTGTTATAATGTAATGAGCCACATTCTTTGTTTTAAGGTCATATGATTCTGAAAGATATCTGAATTCTTTGATTGCAGTTTTTGTAGAGTCCAGCTTCAGAAATTTCTTATGTTACGCAGTTAGAGGGTTCTCATTGTTTTTTTCCATCACTGATGTATTGCTGTTCTGTTGATTCCAGATTTGAGGGTTCTAAGTACACATCCAGAGTGATCACAATGAACATAGCACCAAGGGACAAGACTTTGCTGTAGAAAAATGTGGCAAAATGGTGGAACAAAGACTAATAGAAAAGAAACCATGTTTACTTTAGAAGAAAAAGGCATAGTCAGTCATGCACATAGACATTTTCTGCTTTGTAGGTCTGCTTAACTTGGATAGTCTGCTGGGTGCTACTGGTAAAACTCTCAACTGATTCAAGAACAATCAGCCCACAATACGTGTAGATCTCATATTACCTAGTCATCTCTAAAAGAAGAACTCTGAACAGTTAGAATTTCGTCTAATCTATAATCTAATAATCTAAGGCTTATTTATTCCCCAAAAAAATCATGATTTAATCAGACATGAGCTTTTTCTGCACAATCACAGAATTCCGCTTTTTTACATGACCCTACAGCAATTAACCCCCCAAAATTTACATAAGGTGTTTGGTTCCACAATAAATGTTCAGAGTTTTTTTCTAAAACCTGGGCTTGTGCCTGTTCAACAGAAAGCAGTTAGTTGAAAGAGTTAGCTACTAAGTACATGTATTTGTGACTTCTGATCCTTGGTGCCAGTGGACAAGTTACAGCTGCTATGGCATTTGAAGGAACAGATTTAAAAAAACAAAAGTGGTATTTTTAAAAAGAGTAACAAAATTTTATGATTTTCTGAAATTCCTTTAAAAATTCTGAGTAGTTCTGTTTGATTCAGATTGTTTTTGTATGAGTAAGTATATTTATAAGCCAAGAAATATTAAAATTTTTGGAATAAATGAGTTGAAAGAAAAATGAGTGTCATTACTAATGGTAAGACTTTGCACATAATATTGTAGAGTTAGAAAGGCTATCCAGTTATTTGTAATGACAAAATAATATTAAAAATAATGGGAAAACAGCATCTTTGTTTTCAGAATGATCATTATGTTCAGAACTTCAATATACGTAAACAGATGATCAAAACCTTATTAAGTTTTATCAATTTAAAGAGATTAAAATGGTTTCCATTATGAACAACATATGCACTGTGATAGAGTTGTTAACATTCCTACATTGTTTTAATATAATTCAGTGGGCTCCCTGCTCCTGTTCTCTGCCTCTTCACAAATACAAGATTTTTGCTCCATGTCTCTCCTCCACCCAAACACCAAATTATTACAGCTATTAAATCTTCTTCCTCTCACCTCTCAAAGGAGCCCTCCTGTTGTATAATGCATGTATAATTAGGGTTTAGGGTGATGGTTGGAATGGTGGATTGCCTTACATGGTCTTGGTAATTTGAAAACCTAAATCAGGCACTCACTTAAGGCATCCTTCTAGTATCCCAGCAAAAACTCTATGGGAACCATCATCTCATCATTTAAGAATATCTTTATATGTTTTATCTTTTAAATTGATTTCTGATATATTTTGAGTCTCCTGTGTCTTCAAGGTTGTGGTATTTGTGTCATACTCTAATTGCTTGTTATTCATCCATAAAACAGTAATTACATGTATATAAGCACAAAAAATGTAGCAAAGGTTTTTTTTTTCGGCGTCTTGTTTTACTATATTTATATGTTAATTACTTTTTTATAGATGGCAAGCTCATTTTAATAGGATAATTGAAGGATAGATTTGTCTTTTATTAACTGTAGCTAGTTCATAGTTACTGCTGGGTTGTATTTAGTTACCCATGCAGTATTAGGGTTAGTTTGGTATATAAGTAAGTGACCCAGTATTACAGGGAACTGAGCTGTATGAGCTGGTTGATAGATATATCCAGGTAGTTGAACTGTACTGTTGGAAGATGATTTATGTCATGTAGCAGATAACAAAATGTTTCATTTTTTAAATTTGAGTACATTAAGTAAAGCTTGTACAGTTATTTGTATCAACATGTTACATGCACTTTACAATAATCATACAAGGTAGTACTGATAATCTTTGAAGAACATCCATGTATGTGTTGCCCACCAAGCTCACGGGTAGCTACTGGTAGATGTACTAGCAGATGGAGTGGGTACCTTGTATCTACACCCTTTAATTTCACATATTCAGAAGAAGATCAAGTGAAAAGTGTTTTAGAAAAAATGTAAGCTATTAAGCAGGTAATATAAGAAAGTTACTTTTTTGTACACTACAGTGATATAAAGGCCTCTGTAAGAGCTCCAGTATGTCTGCTGTATGGGGTTGGGTAACAAATTCCTTTACCCTGTGCTGTCCACTTAGAAGCTACATTTCTACAAGAGACATTATTTTTATTACTACTGCTGAATATTCAATAAAGATGAGACTATGTTTACTGCCCGTATATATGTTAAATAGTAGTGGTATGTGAAGAACTTGGATCTGAACTCAGAGGTAACCTTGACCTTTTTCAAGGTCAGATTGGGAGATGAGTCGGCTTTGTGCTGGCAGTTCATGTTGGTACCACTTCTCACAAATTGTCTGTTTAATGTAACAGTACATTAGTGTTATGGTTAATAACTATAGGTCTTCTTTAACTGTCATGGCTTTGGGTATATTTTGTTTATTCTCAAAGGATGACAGCATTTTTAGGCTTTAAGTGGAAATGGTTTTATATTTATTTTACTTGTTTGTTTTAATTAACTTTTAAAACAGTGAGGTTGTGATTTGTAGTAACTTTTTACTGGGTCCTAGCTTTAAGCCAACTGGCATAATTCCACAGCGTGCAAATACTGGTGCTTTCAAAAGCTGCTTTTCATGTTCATTGCCAATAAGGTTTCTCCTCAAATGAGCAAAGATTATATTGAGCAATCATAGTGCCATTTTAACCAGTTTGCCATGATTGTCCTCACACTGCCCAGTGTGGTATTAGTCCAGTGACATGGCAAACACGGCTGTTTGTATCTGCTAGTAGGGGGTTGACATGCTGCTCTGTAGTTGACTAAGGTGTATCTGCCAATGGAAACTTTATTTCATTGACTTGTTTATTGATGTTTAAGTATGGCTGTTAATTTCCAGGGTCATTGTAGAAATAGAAAGGTGCAGGTATGTANCCAATTGTGCTTTCCCTGGACTACAGATTGTTTATGCAATTTCAAAAGATAAAGCTGAAGAAGAGGAAGACATGGGGATACAGTGGATACCTTATTCAGAACCTGTCTCAATACAAGGCTTCATTAAAGTGAAAGTTGCTACCAGGTAAAAGTTGATTCTCATTTTATTTTTATATCAGTCATGTATTGAAACCATTCGCATTTCCTGTATAATCACTAGATCTAAAAAGACTGCAGTATTTTAATTTGACATGAAATCATCTGGTGAATTACACACCAAAAAGTGGGAACTGGATAATGCTAATTTAATTAGTCTCATTTCAGACAGACTTTCAAAGATGATAATCCATTATTGTTACCCAGTATCGTGAACGTGCAGATATATTGACCAATTTCCTTTGCTAACTATGTGGTGGTTGATTTAGAATATTCTAGCTTTCTTCCAGTGATGCCTGTTATAATGTAATGAGCCACATTCTTTGTTTTAAGGTCATATGATTCTGAAAGATATCTGAATTCTTTGATTGCAGTTTTTGTAGAGTCCAGCTTAAGAAATTTCTTATGTTACGCAGTTAGAGGGTTCTCATTGTTTTTTTCCATCACTGATGTATTGCTGTTCTGTTGATTCCAGATTTGAGGGCTCTAAGTATACATCCAGAGTGATCACAATGAACATAGCACCAAGGGACAAGACTTTGCTGTAGAAAAATGTGGCAAAATGGTGGAACAAAGACTAATAGAAAAGAAACCATGTTTACTTTAGAAGAAAAAGGCATAGTCAGTCATGCACATAGACATTTTCTGCTTTGTAGGTCTGCTTAACTTGGATAGTCTGCTGGGTGCTACTGGTAAAACTCTCAACTGATTCAAGAACAATCAGCCCACAATATGTGTAGATCTCATATTACCTAGTCATCTCTAAAAGAAGAACTCTGAACAGTTAGAATTTCGTCTAATCTATAATCTAATAATCTAAGGCTTATTTATTCCCCCCAAAAAATCATGATTCAATCAGACATGAGCTTTTTCTGCACAATCACGGAATTCCGCTTTTTTACATGACCCTACAGCAATTAACCCCCCAAAATTTACATAAGGTGTTTGGTTCCACAATAAATGTTCAGAGTTTTTTTTTTTCTAAAACCTGGGCTTGTGCCTGTTCAACAGAAAGCAGTTAGTTGAAAGAGTTAGCTACTAAGTACATGTATTTGTGACTTCTGATCCTTGGTGGCAGTGGACAAGTTACAGCTGCTATGGCAGTTGAAGGAACAGATTTAAAAAAACAAAAGTGGTATTTTTAAAAAGAGTGACAAAATTTTATGATTTTCTGAAATTCCTTTAAAAATTCTGAGTAGTTCTGTTTGATTGAGATTGTTTTTGTATGAGTAAGTATATTTATAAGCCAAGAAATATTAAAATTTTTGGAATAAATGAGTTGAAAGAAAAATGAGTGTCATTACTAATGGTAAGACTTTGCACATAATATTGTAGAGTTAGAAAGGCTATCCAGTTATTTGTAATGACAAAATAATATTAAAAATAATGGGAAAACAGCATCTTTGCTTTCAGAAGGATCATTATATTCAGAACTTCAATATATGTAAACAGATGATCAAAACCTTATTAAGTTTTATCAATTTAAAGAGATTAAAATGTTTTCCATTATAAACAACATATGCACTGTGATAGAGTTGTTAACATTCCTACATTGTTTTAATCTAATTCACTGGGCTCCCTGCTCCTGTTCTCTGCCTCTTCACAAATACAAGATTTTTGCTCCATGTCTCTCCTCCACCCAAACACCAAATTATTACAGCTATTCAATCTTCTTCCTCTCACCTCTGAAAGGAGCCCTCCTGTTGTATAGTGCATGTATAATTAGGGTTTAGGGTGATGGTTGGAATGGTGGATTGCCTTACATGGTCTTGGTAATTTGAAAACCTAAATCAGGCATTCACTTAAGGCATCTTTCTAGTATCCCAGCAAAAACTCTATGGGAACCATCATCTCATCATTTAAGAATATCTTTATACATATATATGTATGTTTTATCTTTTAAATTGATTTCTGATATATTTTGAGTCTCCTGTGTCTTCAAGGTTGTGGTATTTGTGTCATACTCTAATAGCTTGTTATTCATCCATAAAACAGTAATTACATGTATATAAGCACAAAAAATGTAGCAAAGGTTTTTTTTTCGGCATCTTGTTTTACTATATTTATATGTTAATTACTTTTTTATAGATGGCAAGCTCATTTTAATAGGATAATTGAAGGATAGTTTTGTCTTTTATTAACTGTAGCTAGTTCATAGTTACTGCTGGGTTGTATTTAGTTACCCATGCAGTATTAGGGTTAGTTTGGTATATAAGTAAGTGACCCAGTATTACAGGGAACTGAGCTGTATGAGCTGGTTGATAGATATATACAGGTAGTTGAACTGTACTGTTGGAAGATGATTTATGTCATGTAGCAGATAACAAAATGTTTCATTTTTTAAATTTGAGTACATTAAGTAAAGCTTGTACAGTTATTTGTATCAACATGTTACATGCACTTTACAATAATCATACAAGGTAGTACTGATAATCTTTGAAGTACATCCATGTATGTGTTGCCCACCAAGCTCACGGGTAGCTACTGATAGATGTACTAGCAGATGGAGTGGGTACCTTGTATCTACACCCTTTAATTTCACATATTCAGAAGAAGATCAAGTGAAAAGTGTTTTAGTAAAAATGTAAGCTATTAAGCAGGTAATATAAGAAAGTTACTTTTTTGTACACTACAGTGATATAAAGGCCTACAGTGATAAAAGGTAAGAGCTACAGTATGTCTGCTGTATGGGATTGGGTAACAAATCCCTTTACCCTGTGGTGTCCACTTAGAAGCTACATTTCTACAAGAGACATTATTTTTATTACTACTGCTGAATATTCAATGAAGATGAGACTATGTTTACTGCCCGTATATATGTTAAATAGTAGTGGTATGTGAAGAACTTGGATCTGAACTCAGAGGTAACCTTGACCTTTTTCAAGGTCAGATTGGGAGATGAGTCGGCTTTGTGCTGGCAGTTCATGTTGGTACCAATTCTCACAAATTGTCCGTTTAATGTAACAGTACATTAGTGTTATGGTTAATAACTATAGGTCTTCTTTAACTGTCATGGCTTTGGGTATATTTTGTTTATTCTCAAAGGATGACAGCATTTTTAGGCTTTAAGTGGAAATGGTTTCATATTTATTTTACTTGTTTGTTTTAATTTACTTTTAAAACAGTGAGGTTGTGATTTGTAGTAACTTTTTACTGGGTCCTAGCTTTAAGCCAACTGGCATAATTCCACAGTGTGCAAATACTGGTGCTTTCAAAAGCTGCTTTTCATGTTCATTGCCAATAAGGTTTCTCCTCAAATGAGCAAAGATTATATTGAGCAATCATAGTGCCATTTTAACCAGTTTGCCATGATTGTCCTCACACTGCCCAGTGTGGTCTTATTCCAGTGACATGGCAAACACAGCTGTTTGTATCTGCTAGTAGGGGGTTGACATGCTGCTCTGATCCTGTAGTTGACTAAGGTGTATCTGCCAATGGAAACTTTATTTCATTGACTTGTTTATTGATGTTTAAGTATGGCTGTTAATTTCCAGGGTCATTGTAGAAATAGAAAGGTGCAGGTGTGTATGTATGTGTGTGTGTATGTATGTGTGTGTATGTATATGTATGTGTATGTATGTGTTTGTGTATGTATGTGTGTGTAGGTGTGTGTATGTATGTGTGTGTTTGTGTATGTATGTGTGTGTATGTGTGTGTATGTATGTGTGTGTATGTATGTGTGTGTTTGTGTATGTATGTGTGTATGTGTGTGTATGTGTGTGTATGTATGTGTGTGTATGTGTGTGTATGTATGTGTGTGTATGTATGTGTGTGTTTGTGTATATGTGTATGTATGTGTGTGTTTGTGTATGTATGTGTGTGTATGTGTGTGTATGTATGTGTGTGTATGTATGTGTGTGTTTGTGTATGTATGTGTGTGTATGTGTGTGTATGTGTGTGTGTGTATGTATGTGTGTGGTTATGTATGTGTGTGTATGTATGTGTGTATGTATGTATGTGTATGTATGGGTGTGTGTGTGAGAGAGAGAGAGGTGTTGAAATAAATATTAGCAGACATCTTCCATGTATTTCATGCAGTCTTTATGTTTTGCTTTTATTTAAAAATAATACATTTATGATTATAAAATAATTTATGCTACTATATGTATTTTGTGGTGGTGAATAATAAAACTTTCAACTCTGAAATGTTAAAACTTATCGTCATTTCTAAAGGATAAGTGTTTTTATTTTCACGATATCAACCCAAAGGAAACTAATGGCCAAAGAATGGAGTAAAAATTGTAGCCTCCTGGTAGAAAGTTTCAGGATCATGCCTGATTTCAGAATTTTAACCGATGAAGAGGACTGGCAATGTAGGCCAGCTACCGTAGCCAAGTAGTAATTTTTTTTTTTTAATCATAACTGTTACTCTTACTCATATAACCCACTGATTGAGAGGCAATACAATGAAAGACATTGGTTGTTGATTGAAAAATCAAATAAATAATTCACTTAGAAATGTGTCCTCCCACGTTATAAAGCTCAACCTCAATTTTATAACTTTTGAAAATAATTCCCTTCTCCCCAACATGGCCTCGCCCTCCTACCCCCCCCCCCCCTCACCCCCCCTCACCCCCATACTGGACGGGATGCAATATGAAAAGTGCCTTGAAACATCCATGGCTGGCATTGAGGCACACATGTAACTATTCATTGCCTTAGAATTTAACGTGTATTCTTTATACCAAATTGTGTTACCATGACAGAAGCCCCAGTACATAATAACTTTTCAGAATTTTCTGTTCTCAACAATTTCTTTGAAAAAAAATTTTTTGGAAAAAGAGGAAGAACGATTATATTTCCCAAGTGAAAATGTTTGTAAAAACAGGAACAAACTAGACTTACAAATGTAATCGTCAAAGACTGTCTCTTGTGACAGGAAAAAGAATCAAGTCATGTAGGTGAAAGTAATGAAGAACATTCTTTAAAAATTAATTTTAGCAGTGCTTACTAAGTTTGAAAATATTTGAAACTTTATTAAATGCATTTTTACTGCCATTCCTTATATACGCCGATGATTGTAATGTATGCACCCGTGATAAGACTGAAAAAAACTAGGCAACTTTGTAGGAGAGACATTGCTGAACGGTTGAGCGATGTGAGGAACGCACGCAACTTCCCACGCACAGCAAATAACACTGAAAAATATTACAAATAAGAGAATAATAGATAAAAACTGAGCTATAGAAATGATGATTTACATCATTTGACTTTAAGGGACGGAGTAAGACGACTAAAACCTCAGACGGGTATTTTTTGTCTCTGCGCCTGCTTGTCCCTGTAACAATTTGATTGACGTTTGTTTATATAACCCGTCAACCAAGCTGTTATTACTTGACGGGATCTGTCAAAACTGAATGTTGTCAATTAAATGGTGAAAAGAGCTGGAACTTTGCATGTTGGACAACTATAGTTATCGACTGTAATAATTGTGATTGACGTTTGTTTATCAAACTGTCAATCAAAGTCGTGTGCTTTTGACAGCTCCGTCAAAAATGAATTAAACCGTATGAATTTGATTGGCACCTGTCTATCACAACACCTTTGTTACCTTTAGTAAGTAAAAAGCCAAGTACATTTTCCATGCAGCTCTATAGGAAAAAATCTCAATTCATGCAAATAATAGGTACGTTTCGACATCTACGTGATGACAGATACCGGGGCCCGATACTTTTAAGTCCCCATACCTATAAACCTATGTACCTATAAATTCACGGGCCGACAGAATAATTAGACTAGTGTCTGCGTTTGAAAATGCCACCTATTTAATTTAGAGTGCGTGGTATCTGATAACATAACATTATTGATCACGGACACACGTACTGAAACACCAGTCGTCGTCGTAGGTAAAGGTTCTGACAAGCCGACGTTATTCACTTGTAATCAATAAAAATTATATCTAGTAATTTTACATCAATTAGCATTACTTGAGAACCAAGGGGGAGATACATTTTTATTTACCATGCTTCACCCTCAATAAATAAATAAATAAATAATTTTTTTTTGGATATTTATTATAGAACACAATTTATTTACCCGAGACCTTGAATTTTGATACCAGGGGCGGATTTAAGCCGTCTTCTGGGTCTTCCGGAAGACGGTCAGATTTTCAAGTTTACATTATCGGGCATCTTATATTTTCTGTCGGAAGACGGTCAAAAATGGAGGATGGATCAACAAAGATAATTTGGAAGACTGTCAGAAAATATCTCTGGATCCGCCCCTGGATACGGATTACCGTACAGACATTGACAGCGTTGCTAGCTGGCTAATGTTACTTCATCCTTGCTTCAATCAGACGTGCTGTGTGAAAAAATAAACATACGGAGACAATTGGATCCTAAATATTTACTTAGCTCCATAAAAACATGTTATTTGATCATATAATTTTTGAAGGTTCCCTATCACAAAAATGCGCCCTTACTCTGAAATAGAGACTGAGAACAAGCGTTTTTCAGGCGTCTGGACTGGTGCATGGGGGGAAAATACCTTCAATTTTGCAAAAATAATACCTCTAAGAGAAGGTAATTGTAGTTTCGTTTGCAATGGTAATTAGAACGTTATAAAACATTTGACAGTATTGTTCGTACGCTAGTTTTCACAACCCCATTGCATATTTTCCTTCCCGTGAAAGCCGCTTTTTACTTCCCAAGATGCGCGAAACGTTCATTTTATTAAGCGTGATGCGTGAAGCACTCCACCCCAGTGCCTCGGGAGTTCGGCTTTTTATTCTTCGTTATTCGAGAAACGCAGTCATTATACCCAATTCAATTAAAAAAAACTGCTAAAAAATTCAAGGAACTTTAAAAATGTATACATAGAGGAATTCACAACTGCAGATCAGCGTAGAACAAGTAACAATATCCGTGCAATTGTGAACCATATTAACTCAGGGAAAGGGAAACTCCACATTAGAGGTACCTCCGTGATGCTTGAACACAGTGATAGTAGGGCAGGCAAGCAGAGTGATAAGGATAGCAGTACGGGCAGGCAGAGCGATAGGACAGGCAGGGAGAACATTAACAATGGAAGACAAACAAGGAGATAGGTTCGCGCAGGCTTTTGGAACATTAATGGTTGGACTTCCAATCAGGATAAACATTCAATTCTGTCATCCATAATTATCGAACAGGAACTAGAAATAATAGGATTAGCGGAGACACATCTGTGCTCTAGTAACTGCGACAAGATTGATATCAACGGTTACATTTGGTTTGGCCAGAATAGACCAATGCACAACAGGGCTAGGTCCGGCTCTTGGGGGGNATCTGTGATATCATACCACACTTGTTGTTGCAGTGCTGGAGAGGGCTTGGGGTACATGTAAACTTCTTTTGTGTTGAGAATAGTTGTCATTAGAGGCAGTGTCCCAAGGACTGATGTCAACTCAAGTGGGCGCAACCCAAGGTCGTTCTCCTGAAACAGCAGTTTTCTCATTGTAATGAGTGGTACATGTGATTCCAGAATCTTGTAAATCTGCTGATATTGTTCCATGCGTTCTGGCCACAGTTTACCGGCCCATATCAAAGCGTGAATGATGTTATTACTAGATTCTGATGATTCTAGGTCAATTCCGGCTGATAGCAGTAAGTGGAAACATCGGATAGATCCTCGCATTATGACGATCATCAGAGGAAGGCAAAATGTAGGACACCCATTGCTCAAACTAGGTGCTGGGTCGTGTTGAATGTCAAAGGGAGAATTGATGATGAATCTGTCATTAGTCTGTAAAAGACCGTCTAGTGTCTCATGGTCATCTTGCAGTAAAGCCTGCAAATAGGCCTCGTATTCTGGCAACGGCAATGAGCGGTTATTAGAATTTAAAACGTCCAGGCAACCCGTTTCGTTTGATTGTGTATCCTTACTTGAATGAACTGAACAGCTCGTCTCCATGGCTATGGTTTCGTTGGGTGGGTTGTCACACTTTTAAAAACTCTTGTGGTTAATGAAGTCCAATGTGACAATCTGGAAACAAAAAAAAAATTGGATTAGTTTTTTTGTGCTGTGGAAGGTATCTTAAAAACAAAGACACATTATATGGAGAACCATACATATACATGGACAGTCTCTCTCTCTCTCTCTCTCTCTCTCTCTCTCTCTCTCT